GGTATCATATCTAGCACGCTCTTATCGCACCCCTTTCCACATCGATAAGTCTTGGTTTTTGCTGAACGGAAGTGGATTTCGGCGCCTTATCACTCCGTTGATAAGGCGCCACTGCCACTGAAACTTCACGTGTTCTAACATTGGGCAGGACCTCTATCCACTCCAATACATAGCTTTCCTTATCGTTGCCATGAAGAATTATCGTGACTGCTTCCTTTAAGGTCAATGTTCACGGCTCCATCAGCCGGACAGATATTCGGTTGAGCTTTCATGAAAAAGAAATGTTCTGATCCAAGATTCGCAGAAGATAAACCCTCCTCTGAGAAATTCTTTTCTCTGCTTACATTTCAATTTGGCATCCGCGTGTTTATAGCGCTAGCAAATTCGTTAATTTTTATCTCACCTCAAGCATAATTACGTCGCAGTATCCGTCTCACTAAGGGTTTTTTTTTTGCATGAAGCGTGGTTTGGAATTGGGAGCAGCGTTGCACATGCGCTTTGAATGGATGCGAGGGCAACATAAACAAAAAAAACATGTGCAAAACAGCATCATTCTACAACATTGAATAGGCCAGTTGAAAAAAAAAACTAATTGGAAGCTTCATCAACGGCAGAGGTTCAGTATTTACCACAGTAATGCTATACTTCAATCCAGACGTAAAAACAATTGATCTAATACACTTTTTTTTTCTAAAGCGCAACTTTGAATATTGATTTTCAACAAACCTAACGTAGAAAAACGAAAAATTCAATAATCTATGAGCTGAGACCAACCGACTGCAAACTGCACATATTCAGCACACGGCAACGTCCGTTTCACTTGCTTGCATCGACAAACCACACTGGTGTTCAAACCACATGGAGGACATTCACCTGGATGACACAGCGCTCGGCAGCGATGTTTCTTCTCTAAAAACCAGCTTAACCGTCTCGATTTATCAGCGAGAGCGAGTTTGAGCTTCTTATATAGAGGTAAAATTTTAAGATTTGGGAAAGACTTTCTCTTCTAAAAAGTGAACGAAATAGACGAAAAGCGTGAAAGTCCAAATTGAATTTTTTCCCAAACTTGCGATTTACCACATCCTCGTATATCAAGAATGATCGATGAAGTGAATAATTTTAAAGAGAAATAGACTCACCAGCACTGCCACACATTAACACTTTTGCGCAGATGTTTCTACATGTTGGGATCGGATCCTCGCACGACTTTCGCTGGATACCTAGTTCTTCGAGAGTGCAGCGCCCACAAGGGCAATGAGTAATACGCTCAGGTGCCGACGGACAAGGTCCACATCCAGAACCACCCGTCGAATGGCAACTCAAAAAAAAAACAATTAGGAGAGCTACTAAAAAATGGTTGCTGAACTCATCTTCATCTGTTCATTACTTCAAAAAAAGAAGAAGCCCTTCTAAGGAAACACTCCCCGTCGGCAAAGAATTAAGTACCGTACTTCGCTTAGTACATCTGATGATGCCACAAGAGTACATCCCATTACATGGAGCACCACACGAGTACTTGTCGAAATCACCTTTCTTCGAACACAAAACATCACGTGATGACGACCCACAAAAACAGCCTTGAAAAGAAAACTGTTAAGCACTGAACACTTAACTTTGCAGAGGCTTTGGAACCTTACTTTGGTTAATCAGTACTTCACACGGCCCACAGTCTCCTTCGTGGCAAACTCGCATACAACGGTGATCACCACAGGCCAGCAATCGGTCGCAGACCTTGTCACACTGAAATTACCGGCACTTCACTAAAGCAAAACATTTGTAAATGGATCTGCTCAGTAAATACCTTTACTTCGGCTACTGAACCACAGCGAATAGCTTTCTGTACATTACCACAGTTACATCGTCGGGTGAGCATTACAGGACACTCTGGACATGGTCCCGGATGGCAAGGTTCATTACAACGAGTGTGGCAAACCCTGGAGCTCGTTGACCAGCCACAGAGCATTGCCACAGAATGAGGCTACTTCTACCCCTGTAAATCGTAGCTATTCTAGTTTTTAAATATTACAGTAAAACGTAGAAGATAAAAGTGGACACCTACATAGGAGCATTCGGATTACGCTGCTTACCACAGAAACAGAAATAATTGTATGGAATTGTTTCATACTTTGTTTGACAAGTGGGGCACCTCCATCTGCAAATAAAAAAAAAAGATATCCTCTCACAAAGTAATGTGAAATAGACAAAATTACAAGATCAAACGCATGAAAAGCGACAACGAGCCATAGAAATAGTTGTCAAAATCAAACAGAAATATTCACTTGTTATCATCCTCCTTGCTCTTCTTTGCCCAGTTGATTATACAACCACCAGAAATGTGGAACATATGGTAACATGTCTTGCAAGACCAGATACCCTGAAATGAATTTTAATAACATAAAATACACTAATTGACCCACTTTATTATAAAAATGTTCCTCGACTAAATCTATGGGCATGCCAAATGAATATTGACCCTTCCCGGCTCTCAGCGAAGAGGAGTGACACTTTCGGCTCTCGGCTGGTACCTTCCGGCTGACGTACAAAACAGTGGACTTAAGGATTTTCCAAAACAAAGCTTTTCCGGCAAAGAAACTGGGGATGGTTGAAAAACAAGTGGTGGAAAACGGATTTTGACGGGACGCCAACCAGGGTCAACCGTCCGTTCGAACTGTTCGAAAGGGGTCGCATTTTGGTCGGAAGGGGGTCGCAATTTCGAGGACTGCCAGCCACAGGCGCGTGCGTGGCGTATCCGAGGGCAAGAATTGTTGTGCAGACCGCATTAGATTCGATTAATTATGCACAGAGAGACAGTTTTAGGCAAATTACGGTGTTTTCTTGAGGAATAAAGAACAGTTGAATGCATCCCTATGAAAGGTTTGACTTCTCGGGGCTGAAATTAAAGTTCTTCGGGACCTAATTTTCTGAGGACGATTCTTCCACAACGGTAAAACACATAAGAAAGCAGAAATCTCGTAGTCTTCAAAAATGTCTTCGCCCCTCCCCAACAAGTTCTTTGAAGGAAGTTATTATTGCTGAAAGCTCAAAAACTCGCATGTGCTGCTCAAAAACCTATGGGAACAAAATGTTCGAACGTGTGATTTTCTCGGAAAATGGATTTTGAAAAACGGTTTGGGCTTGTTAGAAAGAGCAAATCCTGTACTTTCACCCCATGAAAAAAGTGCATCACAGAAATGAAAATGAAGTGAGTTATGGTCGCTGAAAGCCCAAAAACTCGCTTTTGCACGAAAAATGTTCGAACGGGACAATTTTTTGAAAAAGGGGACAATCACTAAACTTTTTACTATTTTGTTAGAGAAATATTTGAAGTTTCTGAAACTTTTTACAGATTTCCAAAATGTCGCATACGAAAGATTTTATGGGCCTTCAAAGTTGAAGGTGCGCCTTCTTAGAATTTTGGGTTTTCCACTTCTAACAGAAGTACTTTCCGGAGAGTTAGGCAATCCTTGTAGTTTTCTGGAAGCGCACCTCAGGCACAATCAAAATCTACCTCAACAAGTCAAAAAATACGTCCCAAGAAAGTTATTCCCCTCTAAAATTTTTTCTTCGCCGCGTCCCGTTCTTCCAGCGCCCGGGTGATACCTGCCGCGCTCCAAGGCCGACGCGACGACGCGCAGACGCTTTCTGGCGCAACGGATTCATGTCTAGCACTCTTATTAACAAAAACAGGGGTCGCAACTGGACCCCCTCGAGAGCTAGGGGGTCGCAAAAATCCCGAAAATGTTCGAACGTGGGTTGACCCTGGCCTCAACCCATCATCTCACTTCTACTTGCTTAGCACTGAACAATGAGCTTAGGATAGCACAGCCGTTTCTTTTCGGAATAGAGAGAGATCGTTTCAAAACTATCAAAGTTCAAACAAACGTATCAGAAAAGATTTGAATCAATCCAAAATACGGGAAAAGATTTGAATCAATCCAAAATAAGGGAAGGAAATCTTACCTGTCTGGCAAGAATAATTTGGCAGCAAATAGCACACTCGTATCGATTGCTTTCCAGCTGATTCATTAGGCGTTCTAAAGGAATTTGATCGAATATTCACATGCTTCTCCGGGCAGAAGAGAAGAAAAATCACCTCTCATGGACTTATCCTGATCACTTTGGTCGTCCGACTCCAACCTGCGTATGAACTTCCGACGATTTTGAGCTTGACCTCCACGAGTTTTATTGAAGTTGGCCCCAGCATTTGACGCTGGGCCGCGGCGAAACTCTGGGCGAAGTGGTCGAAGTGGTTGGTTTTCAGTCCGATCAAAGGCAAATCTTCTGTTCTCTCGATACGTAGGTCCTCCAGTTGGAAGTTGTGGGCCCCTATTGTTCTCTGACGATAAGGTCTCCTGAGATGCTCTTTCGATGAACTCTGGAGCAGCAGCAAAGGTGGGGACAAACGGCGCCGCATTCGGGTTGAATCCAGTGTCGTTATGTGTTGGTGCCGAGTTACTTCCTCCTGAATAAATCAGAATATAGGTTAAACAAAGTAAATACAGAACAATGACCTTCCCTAGGATAATTTCTGCGAGTTTCCGAGTTCCCAGTTTTGGGGGAGACAAGAGGAAATATTGTATTGGCTTTTCCACGATAAATAATTCAGTAGCGGAACTTCCTGTAGATTCAGAATAAGAATCTATCTCACATCTAACTCTTCTACGCTACCAGAAGCCAACCAGTCACACTCGTCGGGTCTATTAATACCCAGAATGTCTGGGAGGAAAAATAAGTGGAACAAGCTTCAAATGGCGGTGAACTACGCTCACGATCAAATTCTTCAAGGTCTATTTGGTGCATCCCAACAAATTGAGCAAAAATGATTCCTATTCGAGGGAGGAAATCCCAAAAACGTTCCCCAAGAGACTCTGCAGTCATCGTCGAAGGTGATTAGTGACTCTGGGATCTGTATTTCTCTAGTCTTTCTCTAGTTTCTTCGTAAATCGGTTCATCTTCTCAATTTCCCGTTCGTTCAAGAAACATAGGTGAAGAGACCAAGAAAATCACCTCGTCCACCACGCGGAAACCCTCTGAAGCCTCGTCCTCTACCACGTCTTGGAACATCACGTTGTTGCGGAACGCCTTCTATGGTCCTTTCCTGAGCAGAAGCTGAAAGATGCCTGACAATATTAACTAAAAAAACGTTTTGCCAATCATTTCAATAATAGCCCATATGAATCGATTCGATAAAAATGGAAAGAACTTACCAACGCCTTCCCTAAGAGGTTCTGTGACCAGCACATTCATAGCTCCTCTAGCTTTTCCCCGGTTGTATCGATTTGGACGACTAAACGAAATACAACATAAGACATGGATGAACAGAACCGGGCAAGGGTAGAAAAAGGGTCCTTGGAACTGTAATTTGATGGCAGCTGTCTACCCTACCAAATTTCATCAAGAATCTACCGTAGGAAAACCATAACAATCTCAGAATTCTTCTTTTGACAGTATACGATCTCGGAGAAGGGGAATGGGCAAATGGGTTGAATACATATCGATCGAGAAAAGGAAAACTCTAAGATTGGAAGATCAGCCAGAGCTACGTATGCACCGGTTCTCTTGTTTCCGCTATCTGAGCGGTTTTCAGATTACAATGTTGATCACCTGTTCACTTATTTGCCTAATCGATACGCATCTTATTCATTCCAAATAATCGCCTCGCCGCCTGGATGACAACGACCAATGCACTGAGAAAGATATAAGTAAAATCACCTGTTCCTGAAGCGGTTGCGAAGCTGAGGCATTCACTCCTTCATCAAAGCGGTGAGCTGTACGATCAACCCGTTGTGGACCACTAGATGGGATGCTTTCCAAAGGTGTTCTTTCAGTCAACTGATTAGGTTCAGCAAGGTTTGGACCCGCGCCTCCTCTTCCTCTTCTGTAGCGTCGTCGTCCTCGATTGCTGCCATCTGAAGCTGCAGCTGTTGCTGTTGCGGACGCTGACGCATCTCCCATGGCGGCTTGGGTCTGAAATTATCCAACTTTTGAGAACCGTAAAACTATGAGCAACTGCAAAAGCTCGACGGAGGAAGAGAAATCTCATTTCAATTCATATTCTTCTCGCTTAGCGACTTTTTCGCGTTTCGCAGCGCGAAACATTTTCGCTGCGGGAACCTCGGGTCCACTGATGATCAGCGGTGGACCTGAGGTTCCCGCAGCGAAAAATGTTTCGCGCTGCGAAACGCGAAAAAGTCGCTTCTGTCCTAGTGAACCACACCCACAGTATTGAAGCTTTCACCGTAAAAAAGGGGTTGGATGTGGAAAGCAAAAATTGTTTTACATGTAAAAACCAATATCTGTCGCCAAGTGTTTTGGGTGGCCAGAGCAGAATTAAGAGCAGCCTTGCCAAGTTCTCAAAATAGCCTCAGAACAAACTTCGGAAACTTTTAAGTAGCGACAACTATGGACTCGACGCTGCTTGAGAGCGCAATGGGGCCTCTAACAGGGTTACAATGGTGAATTTGACGCGGGAGTTCAATAATTTGAGGGTAAAACCTGAAGCCTACACAGAGTATGGTTCTATTTACAGAACAAGCATGTAGATGACGTCTACATGCTTGTTCTGTAAATAGTCCCAATTGATCCCGAGACATCCCGGAGGAATCTAGGATTAGTTCTCGATATCCTTCACTATTAGCCATTAATGTCTGAACACAAGGCACAATATACAACACTAAAAGCCATACTGGCTGCGACAAGAATAAGGAAAGGTTTAGTTAATGCCGAAACGAGGAATTGATTATCACAAATATCTTAATGAAGTGGGATGAGAAAGTATGCACGAGTAGAAAACATTCAGCAAGTATATAACACGATCCATTTATAAAGAGGTTTGGTCTTTTTTAACCGTCGCACTAAATTTCAAAGTGTTGTGCAATCCGTGACATAAAGGTCGCAGTACCAGTTGTGACGGTGCGGTCTTGCAACGAAAATTGCGACAGTACCTTTAATCTGTCTGCGGTTTTTCTTTCCTAAATTACTTCGACATTTCTCCTTATTTTCAGTGTTTTCTGTCAGACTGTATTCTTTTTTTTCGCTCACATAGGTCTCTAGAAACAGGGTCAGTTCACAAGTTTTTCATGCGAAGAACTGACGTGGGAACTTTTGATTTATGTGGGCTGGGTGTTGCACTTGTATCGCTCGGCATGGGTGTTCCTCCTGAATAATTTTCGATCTGAAAGCCCAAGAAGTGGCCGTAAAATGTGGTCCAAATTGCCAGCAGCTTGGATGTTCCATTTATCTTGAACTATGTTATTCTGAATCAAATCAAATTTACGCTTCAAATGCCGAAGCAAAGGTGACGGTTTTTCAACCTGCTTAAATCTGTTGCAGTTTTCTTTTTCGATAGATGGAAAGCAATTCTGTGGAACTGTGGGGACTAGGCTAGTTTTTGGATTTTTTAAGTATTGACAGTAGGGGGAGTTTAAAGCTGTTTTTATGATGTTTAGAAGTGATTACTAATTCCTTTTCTTTACTAGTTTGAAACCTAAAAAACAAAAAATAATCTAATTCCAATTTCTTTACTAGTCTGAAAGCATGTAGCATAAGTAGAGGTGCTATAGTTCACTGCTGACAGAAAAAAATGCTGTCCGAAGTCAAACCGTTTTGTTCATAAATGCCCTGATTAAGGATTTCGTAAAAATCTTTGTTCAGTGCATGTGAACTTCATTTTATTTTCCATTAAATTCAGAGCTGTTTGGTATATTGTACAATGTAAATTTCGCACCTTTTATTATATTTGATTACTTTCTTTTTCAGGTAATAGCGTCATCACATCCGTAAGCAAACATGGGTCGTATGCACAATCCTGGTAAGGGTATGTCGAAGTCGGCTTTGCCGTACCGACGCTCAGTTCCGTCGTGGTTGAAGCTGACCAGCGCCGATGTCCAGGACCAGATTGTCAAGCTGGCTAAGAAGGTTTGTTAAGCAGTGAGGAACTTGAGGGTTCGATTCCTTCAGTTACCCAAGACTGCAATTTTTATATTTTGTAGTTTTTTGAATGTGTTGCGGCCCGAAATACAGATTGTAGATTAGGATCGCAGCATTGGTCAGTAAGTATAAGGTGATCTTTTGTATCTGCAACCTGGCTTCTAATCCTCACATTTTTAGGGTCTCCGTCCTTCCCAGATCGGTGTCATCTTGAGGGATTCCCACGGAGTCGCTCAAGTGCGCCGAGTAACTGGAAACAAGATTTTCCGCATCCTTAAGGCCAAGGTACCTTTTGATATCCCTTAGTTTTTTTTTGTCTTTTTGGATGCTAATAGATGAGATGTATTTAGGGCATGGCTCCGGAAATCCCTGAGGATCTGTACCATCTGATCAAGAAGGCGGTATCCATCCGAAAGCATCTTGAGCACTCGCGCAAGGACATTGACAGCAAATACAGATTGATTCTTGTTGAGTCTCGAATCCATCGTTTGGCTCGCTACTACAAAACCAGCCGTCAACTCCCAGCGACCTGGAAGTATGAGTCGGCGACCGCTGCCTCACTCATCTCATAAAGTTGTTTTGTGATTATTTGTTATAAATTGTTGATTATTTCGTGTTTTTGGCAAACAGGAGCAGATGGCAGGGGGAGTAGTGGGACAGGTGGGGCTCCGAGCCGGTAAAGACGGGGCTGTCCTCTTTCTGGGATCTTTGTTTACTTGAATTGATGAGTTTCGTCTGAAATTCCTGGCACCTATTCTGTGCCTCTGTATTCATAAATAAAAAGGGCTTGATCTCGTTCAGTAAGAGAACCAGGGAACTTTTCGATCGCCTAGGTAAGGGTAAAGTGGCAGTGGTTTGCAAGACAGTTAGGAAGTGGGTGGACAGTAGCCCTGACTTGAACATGATACTGCGACAGGTGTTCTCATTGAAGACAATGAAGATGTTTAGTTAGAATATATTTCCGACGAGTTCTGGTTTTATATCGATTTCCGATTTCTTTTGTTGGTTAACTTAGTCCGCTGATGTTGAAAGTGCCATTTAATATGAGTTTGGAGGTTTCCTTGCTGGGCCGATGTCAGACTTCGAGCGATTCGCTAGCGTCCGCGGTCGCGTTGCGGTACCAGCCAATTGAGTGATTCACTGGCCGCGACGCGACCGCAGACGCTAGCGAATCGCGCGATTCGCAAAGTCTGACATCGGCCCTATAGGTGCGTGTTCCCTGTGCATCATGGTTGAAATTGTAGAAATCGGACTGTGATGGGATTTTCAGCAGTCTAGAAGTGGGGCTGTGCGGGTGAACGTGTTTCTTACTCTGAACGACTTTACCCTTCGATGGTCAACTTCACCTGATGGAGTGCCCTACATATTTCTTAAGAAAGCTGCAGAAGGTATCACTCCTGCCTTGACCGATCTTTTCAACAGAGTACTTTTGGGAGAGTCTGTCCTGCGATCTGGCAGTTGGGACTTGGATTCGAGCAGTAAATGAGAAAGTGAGGGTGATTTCAGAAAATATAGAACGGTTTCTCATTTAGCCATTTCGTGAAATAATAGGAAAGATGGGGTATGGTCAGATGAGGGTTTTTTTTTCATAAAATGGAGCCTTTTATCTCCATGCTATAAGATCAACCATAATTATGAGTGTGTTAGTCGGAGTGGAAGGTAAGGGGGGGGGTCGTATCGAGACCGCTTCGTCTAGCCGAAGAGGGAATTCGTCATATTTTAGAGATTGGCAGTACGAACTGTTGCCCTGGTACTGCGTCCTCTACTTTGTACACTATATTTTAACTTCTTTTTCTCATTTTCTCGGTCCATCGCCGACATCACGTGTGCTCAAAGATGTTCTTGAATCGATGCCACGTTAATGCCACGTCAATTTCTGCAATTGCACAATTTCTGGTCATTTGAAGGCGAGGGTACAGTCGATATCTCGAAGTCTGATTGGGCGTGTCACCGGAAATGACGTGGCAGCCACCGCACTTGATAGATGTTGTGTGGATAAAATACTCCGCCAGATATCAGCAAAGCGTGTTGGAAGCAGCTTATCCGCGCAACTTCTATCAAGTGCGGTGGCTGCCACGTCATTTCCGGTGACACGCCCAATCAGACTTCGAGATATCGACTGTACAGTAGCGTCAAAAGTGTTCGCCGAAACGATTTTTAGTGATTAATTTTTCTCGCTTGAGCAACGCCCTCCAAAGATTGATATACTATGTTTTCTAGTGTTTTTATATCCTCAAGCCTTAAAGAATCAGGATGTTCAAAAGAAAA